CGGGCGGAAGCCGAAGCCTGAGCGGCCCCCGAGCAGCTCGAGCAGCGACAGGTGGGCGCCCGCCCTGGGTGGGCGCCGGCTGGGCCCCGGGGCCGGGGGTGGGGGGCGCACGAGGCCGGGCCCTGACGCGCCCGCGCCCCCAGCGACAGCGACGAGGTGGACCGCATCAGCGAGTGGAAGCGGCGGGACGAGGAGCGGCGCCGGGAGCTGGAGGCCCGGCGGCGGCGCGAGCGGGAGGAGGAGCTGCGGCGGCTGCGCGAGCGCGACAAGGAGGACAGGGAGCGGCGGCGCGAGCGGGCCGAGCGCGGGGAGGCCCCCGCGGGCAGCGGGGCGGGCAGCGGGGCCAGCAGCGGCGACGAGGTCCGGGATGAGGACGAGCCCGTCCGGAAGCGCGGCCGCAAGGGCCGGAGCCGGGGCCCCCCGTCCACCTCCGACTCGGAGCCCGGGGCCGAGCTGGAGAGAGAGGTGGGCGCCCACCGTCGGCGGGCCCCGGAGGGTGGCCGGAGCTGGGACGGTCCCTCCCGGCACCCACCTCCCGTTATCCAGCTCACGTCTCGGCGCCTGGCGTGCGCTGGGCACCGTGCCGGGTGCCAGGGATGCAGCTGCAACGTGTGTGAGCGGAACGTTGGAGGGGGGTGGGTGGCAGCAGGACACAACGCGAGGACGGTGTGGGGCTTGCAGAGTGTGTGCAAAGGAGGATTGGGCAGCCTCGGACTGCTGCCAGGGGGGTTCCAAGTTGGTACAGGGCAGACCCTGAAGGCCTCGGCTGAGGGGAGAACATTAAGGGTCCAAGTGAAGGAGGCCATCGGGAAAGATAACAGGGAAGCATCCCAGGCAGGGGGCGCAGTGCATCCCAAAGGCCCTTCCCTGTGTGGCACGTTGGAAGAACAGTGAGGAGGCCCTTGGGGATGGAGCAGAGAGAGTGGGACGGCGGGACCCCGGGGCCACAGGGAGGTCTTGGACTTTGACATGAGGGAGGTGGGAGCCCCGGAGGGCTGTGGGCACCTGGGGAGACCTGACTCAGGTGCTCGTGGGCGCCCTCTGGTGGCCGCTGCGGGGAGGGTAGGCACATGTACCTGGGAGCAGATAGGTAGCTCTGGTGCACGGTGGTGACCACCAGGCGCCATGTGTACTGTAGGCCCATCAGCACCCTGCCTTTGTGGCCCTCACCTGGACTGAACCCCACACAATGGAGGAAGTAGGGTGAACACTGTTCTCTCTTCTGTCACAAAAGGGGGACCAAGCTCCCTGCCCCAGGAGTCATCCTGCTGAGCAGGTGGAATGTGGTGGGGCTGTCCCACCACCAAGTTCCAGGGCCTGAGAAGCTGCAGCCCTGGGCAGACCGGACCCGTGTCTTCCTTCCTATCCCATCCCACCCGCTCCATCCACTCCCCAAAGCACAAACATAGTGTGGCAAGAAGTGTCCAGCTGTATTGCTGAGGGGCGTTCGGGGGTCCTGCTGGCTGCTGCCGCCCCGCCCACCCCAGCCCTGCCCTTTCTCTGGCTGCTGCAGGGGAAGAAATCAGCTAAGAAATGGCAATCACAAAGCACAGAGCCCACGAGGAGGCCCAGCCAGAAGGAGAAGAGGGGGCGCCCGGAGGAGAAGCCCCGAACTAGGTGGGAACCCTCTCTGCCTCCTCCTGCAGCCCCCGGGGGACCCCGCCCTTCCTGGTCCCCAAGGTTCCCAGCCTCCTCGCAGGAGGGGCCCAGGGCCTGAATGCAGTGCCTCGTTCTTGGGCCTCATCAGGATACCCAGAGCCACTGCTCCAGGACTCCACTTCCCCTGGGCCTCGGCTCTCAGCTGGGGCTGCCCCCAGAGGACACTGGGCGGTGCCTGGGGACACCTGTGGTCGCCACCTGAGGGTGCTCCTGGCATTGACTGGGTGAGCGGAGCTGTGGGCAGTGGTCACGTGCCTGCTGCTGTTAGGTGCATCCAGTCAGCATGTTTTAATTAGTTATTTGCTGAATTTTATGTATGTAGCCATAAGTGACGTGTTAACCATTAGTGACGTGTTCAAAAAAAAATTCTGGAATGTCACGTTTGCTTGGAGGAACCGGAGGTGGGGCTGACATCCTTGGTCTCCTTGGGCCTCGACCCTTCCTCCTGGCTCCAGGGCCTCCAAAAGGTTTCCTTTTTCCGTGGCCACAGGTCACCCCCTGCAGGCCCTGGCCCTCCGTAGGGAGGGTGGCAATGGCCGGGGGTCTAAGGGCCACGACTTCCCGCAGGCCCATGAAGGTGGAACGGACCCGGAAGCGGTCAGAAGGGTTCCCATTGGACCGGAAGGTGGAGAAGAAGAAAGGTGAGGAGCTACTGCCCATACTTACTGCCGCCCAAGGTCTCTGAGAGGGAGGCGGGGAGGCCATGGAAGAGCTGGTTGCTGTCACCATAGTGGTGCCGGGGCAGGGCGGCCAGGAAGGAGGCAGGTGTGGGGCCGCCTCGGCCCTTCTCAGGCCCATGCGCTGCATTCTTTCCTGGCTGCAGAGGCTTCTGTGGAGGAGAAGCTCCAGAAACTGCACAGCGAGATCAAGTTTGCCCTGAAGGTCGACAATCCGGTGAGACCCTCCCTGGGGTCCAGCAGTCACACCAACCGCTTCCCTGCGCCCAGCAGTCCCCCTGGGCCCTAGTCTGAAGCTCTCGTAGAAGTGTCAGGAAGCTGAGGCAGATCAGGGCCCCGGGGGAGACAGGACAGGGCCCCGCTCGCGTGCAAGTGCCCCAGGCAGGGGGAGGGCCCAGGTTGGCCTGAGGTGCAGCGCTTCGTGTCCCCACCAGGTGCCCCCCCCCCCAGTCCTCCTGGTTGTGGGTCCTTCCCGTTGTCCCCAGGGGGAGCCCCGGAGTGTCCTGTTGCCTGTTGGGGCCCCACCAGCTAGGTGCTGTGCCTCCTCACTCTGCTCCTGGCACTGCAGGACGTCAAGAGGTGTCTGAATGCACTAGAGCAGCTGGGGACCCTGCAGGTGACCTCGCAGATCCTGCAGAAGAACACCGATGTGGTGGCCACATTGAAAAAGGTATGCGGGAGCCCAGGGCAGAAGGGGCTGGTGGCAGGTGGGGCACAGGGCTGCTCAGGACGCCCAGCTTCCCGGCCCAGCCCTGGGTTGACAAGGAAGGGGGTGATGGGCTGGTGGGTGGAAGAGTGGGAGGGCCCATGGGGTCACCCTTGGGGGTGGCAGCTGGGGAGAGGGTCTCAGGTTGCTGGGAGGCCAGCTGCACCTCCTGAGCCAGGCCTCTCCGGGGGCCAGATTCGCCGTTACAAGGCCAACCAGGAGGTGATGGAGAAAGCCGCAGAGGTCTACACCCGGCTCAAGTCACGGGTCCTGGGGCCGAAGATCGAGGCCATCCAGAAGGTGACCAGAACCGGCGCAGAAAAGGAGAGGGCCGAGGTGGAGAAGGCTGAGGAGGCGCTGGCCGGAGAGGAGACCCCCGTGGAGAGGGCCGAGGACCAGGCAAATGCTGGTGAGGGCCCGGCAGGCCATCCAGGCCCCGAGCAGAGCTCCGCGCTCTCCTGAACGGCCAGGGTGGCCGCCTGTTCCCCTCAGCACTCTGCGCAGGCTGGCCAGGTGCACTACTGCCAGGCTGTGGGGCCTCTTGAGCCACAGACCCCGAGAGGCTGCACCTGCATGCTGGGGTCAGGCCCCACTGCGCTGCAGGCACAGGCCAGCCCCCCCGGGGAGAGGGCGTCTCCAGCAGGGACGGGCAGTGGCCGTGTGATGGGAGGGCCTTCCTTCCTGCCAGGGCCCCTAGTCCCATGAGAAGTGCTCAGAACAGCCCTTCAGACCAAGGCCAAGTCGGCTCAGCTGAAGCCTCCGCAGCCCCAGGGACAGCCCGGACGGGGTGTCCCTCTGCTTCTGCCCCAGTCATGGCCCTCGTTTCCCAGTCCCTTGTGTGGGCAGGGACCTGGGGCGGGCTGCAGAAACACCACGCGCCGCCAGCCCCAGCATGACGGGAGCTGATGTCCTGGCGCATCCGGGGGGCCCAGGGGGGGCTGGTGAAGTGGGGCTGGTGAAGTGGGGCTCACGGGGCCAGGGCCCTCAGGGAGGGCCGAGGGTCCTGTAGGACCCCTGTCCCTAAGCCAGATGGCTCATATGCTGTTATCACCAGGCAGGGGTAAAGGGTGTCCAGTGACAGTTGCACTGTGTCCCACAAGCCTCTCTCCCACCCAGACCTCTCAGCCTCCGTGAATGGCGAGGCCATGTCCCAGAAGGGAGAGAACGCAGAGGACAAGGAACCGGAGGAAGGCCAGAACTCGGAGGAGGGCCCAGGGTGCGGCTCCTCTGAAGACGTGTTACACAACGAGTAAGTGGGGGACTGGCCGTGCTGAGGACCTCCTAACGTTCCCCAGTATTCAAGCCGCCCCAGTGGGTGCTCGTTACGGTACGGGCAGCAGGGACTCCCTTGCACACTGGCCTCCCAGCCTCGTCTTTGTGGCTGATCTCCAGGCCTCCAGTCAAGGGATCTCCAGGCTCTGGGCTGCCCTGGGCCTGGCCCCCAGGAGGGCAATCCCTCCTGCTGCCCCAGAGGCACCTGTGGGTCTTGACCAGGCCACACTGAGCCCCCAGAGGCCTGCCCTGACTAGGCTGGACTCAATGTGCGGCTGCACTGGCCCCTCTTCAGACACGGGCTGCGCCGCCAGGATGGTCAGCCCCTGTCCGTGGGAGGGGACGCGGGCCGGAGAGCGGCTGCGCATGCCCACCGTGCTCTGCTCCGCAGCAGCACGCAGGAGGGGCCCGACCTGGATGGGCTGGGGAAGGAGCGGCCGGAGCTGGAGAGGATGCGGATGGACTCGGAGTCGCTGGACGAGGAGGACAGCTGAGCCCCGGGCAGCCCCGCCCCATCCCCCGAGGATGCCCCGGCCGCCCAGGCAGCAGACTGTTGGGGATTTGCTGTGCTGTTCCTTTGTATTTGTCCCCTTGGGGTTTTTTTTCTGCCTAATTTCTGTGATTTCCAAACAACATGAAATAACTATAAAGGGTTTTTTTTTTAATGAAAAAAGAATCACTTTTATTGGTTGGTTTTCTCTTGTTATGGGTGCAGCTGGGCCAGAGCTGGGAAGCAATAGGCAGCTGTCAGGGACCCGTCCGGGGACAGTTTAAAGCCACAGTGTCATGATTAAGAGCAGATGTGAACTTGGTTCTAACAGTGCTGGGCCCAGCCTGGCCTGCCCTGCAGGGCTGACCATGAAGGACAGTGGAGCTGAGATGCGTGGCAGCCCAGTGCCCAGTGCGGGCAAGGCCACGCTTCCCTGGAAACTGCTGCCTCCGCCACCCACTCGCATGTTTCCTGTTCCCATTGACCCCCGAGGCAAGACCCAGAGTCCCTAGCAGCACCAGCTCCGGGCATCCGGGCCCTCAAGCAGGGAGCATGCTAGGGGCTCTGTCGTCCTTAACTCTGAAGGGGCATGAGTCCCAGGCACAGGCTAGCTGTGTGACCCTAGGCACATGTCACTCCCACCCCCTTGCCTTTCCTCACCCGTGTGGGGGATGACCCCAGCCAGGCGACGCCTGCACATGGCAGTTTGTTTGTTAGACAATAGTGGGCACTGTGTGTCCCCTGGCCTGCCCACAGCCGAGTCCTGCTGCCCCAGCTGGGGGAGAGGCCAGGGTGTGGTGTGGGAGTCCCACAGCTGGGCACCCCCCATTTGGTTTGGCCAGACGAGGCCAGGTCACCACGCTGTTTTTGTGAATGGCCACAGTGTGACCGCTTCTGATGTCCTTTGGTGGATACTGAAAATGGATAGACTGGAGCTGTCCCCTTACTCATCTCCCGTGTCTCCATGGCCAACTCCGTGGGTGCCTGGCTCCTGGGGGCTGCGGTGACCCTCGGGAGAACTGGCCCATCCGACCTGGAGCTCAGAGCACCACTTCTGTGAAGGGGGCACAGTGGGGGGTGCTGGAGGCCCCCAGCCAGGGAGACAAACAGATGTGGGCTGTGGGCTTGACAAGGCTTGGCTGCTGCATCCCCCCCGGCTGGAGGGCAGGCAAGGCCCCTGGTATAGCCACCTCGCAGGGCTGCACTGGTGACCCAGGGAGAGCTGGGGAGCAGGACCATGTTTGCCACATGCCCCCTAGGGCCCCATCCCCTGTGGGAAGCCCTTTTAGTCCTTCATCAGCAGCCTCTGGGCCCAGGTGCCCCCAGGAACCACAGAGCCTTAGCCCCGGGGCAATCTCTGTGATTGGCACAAGTGGGGAGGCCGGAAAGGGGCTTGTAAGCTGTGATCCAGATCTCAAGCCAGACCAGTGCAAGGTCCCCTTGGTGGCTGCTGTGGCTTTTTCCCCTAGACCCTCTTGGCCCATCGGATGCCAGCTGAGACAGTGGGTGGGAGCTGCCTCACAGTGATGGTGGCGTTCTGGCACATTCTGGTACATTCTGCTGCAGGGGGATGTGGTTTGCTGAGGGCCAGGGCTGCTTTCAGAGTGGGGACAGAGGAGGCAGCCTCCTGCTAAGCTGGTAGCTAAAGGACCCAGGCTGTGGGGCAGAGACCCCTAAAGATAAAGTGCTGAATGGAGAACTTTGTAGGCTTAGGCACATTTCCACTTCTCCCTGAATGGAAGTTCTTCAGATGATGGATGGCCTTCTGCAGCCCTCGAGAAGGGCCAGCATGCTCAGGGTGGCTGGTGCAGGCGGCCCCGAGCCAGGCACATGGCCTGGCTGAATCGAAAGTCCTTGACGTCCCCACTGGCACCGGCCAGCACCAGTACGAAGGGTGCGGGGAGCTGGAGCTGGTCTGGGGCCAGGGGGAGGGCTCCACTGCAGGGACCTACAGCTGCTGCCCGCCAGGGGCCAGGGCGAAGGGCCCCACCAGCCAGCTGAGTGGGGGCTGGTGCTGCACACCTTCCAGCGTCCGCTCCAGACCCTCCCATGCCCGGCCTAAGCTGTCGCGGGCCTGGGCCAGGCGCTCAGCCGGCAGCTCTGCCGCGGAGCCTGCGGAGGACATGACACCATAGAGCTCGCAGATGCTTTGCCGCACCCGCCCAACCTGCTGCTGGAGCTCGGCCGGGAGGCCCTGGAGACTGTAGGCCAGGGTGCTGCAAGCCACGTGGAGCTGCTGGAGGAGGCCGCAGGCCCTGGACAGAGCCCCTGCATCTGGCACCTGCGGAAGCAAGGAGCAAGGTGAGCAGGGGCTGCAGGGGAAGACGGTGGGGGCCTCAGCCCTCCCGCACATCCTGGGCGCTGCCGCTCGGGTCCTGGTCCAGCCACGGCCCCCCTTCCTGGGCCTGCTTGTCCTGTTCAGTCTGGAGGAAGAGAGTCCCGCAGAGAATGATGGCTTCTTGGCAGGGGGCTTTCCCAGGCCATCCCCGCAGGGCAGCGGGAGGCCTTGAGGCATCTGTGGGGCTGGCCCTGGGGCCTCCAGCTAGACCTTCCCTGTGGTGCAGTGGCAAAAAGGCCACCGATTTAAAGCCAGCTGCCCCAGGATGGGCTTGTCATGCCTTCTAACAGTCAATAATCCAAATTCCTCATGAGGTCAGCAGGGAGATCAAATAACAGCCTATTAATGGGATCGGGGGCACTCCGCAGCTCAAAACCCTTCCGTGGCCCCCCAGTGCCCTCTGGATAAAACCTTCGCACCTCGCCATAGCCTACATACATGGTCTGGCCCCTGGGACGCCTCAGGCCCCAGCCCCTGCTGACACCCTGTCATGCTCGCCACACTGGCCCTGTTTTGTCCCCTGACCACTTCCAGCCTCTGCCTCAGGGCCTTTGCATGCACTGCCCCGCAGGGTACTTGCTCTGGCCCTCCCTGTGGTGCCTGTTCAGCCTCGGCTCCAGGTTGCCTTCCCGGCAGCCGCCTCTGCCCACCCAGAACAGGGGCCCCCGGTGCCTTGTCATCAGATCTCGCCAACCCTCAGAGGCAGGGCGGTGTCGTGTTACTGTAGAGGGTTGGTTCCTTCGCTTTTGTGGGAGCCCTGTCAGGACCTCTTTCTCCTTGATGGTTGGATCCCTGGCACATGGAGCCCTGCTAAACGCTGGGGAGGGGGTGGCATGTGGGACATATGTGGACCCCACCTTGCAATCAACCCCCCAGCTCTCTCTCAGCCCTGCGACCTACTCTATCCAGGGACCCAGTGATCATCTCCAAGGTACCTTGTCCAAAACCAAGTTCTTAATGCCTGCCACGGCCTCAGCATCTCCTTGAGTCTCCCCATGAGGCTCTCCGAGGCCCCTCACACCCCACATCTAACTCATCTGCAGACCCTCACAACTGTGCTTTGGAAACATCCAGGGCCCAGCTGCCTCCCGCTATCACCCGAGGGCCCTGTCATCACTTGCCAGGATTTTTGCAGAAACCCCACTCACTCCTGGCTCCGGCCCTTGACCCATGCTACCCATCCTCCCCATGGGGGCTACAGTGAGCCCCTTAAAACCGAAGGCCTGGCACTGTAGGGTGTGCAGGAGCACCCCGCCCCCACCCGCCCCCCTCAATGCCGGGAGCATCCAAGGAGGTCCAGACAACAACCAGGATGTCCCCAGACACGGCTCAGTGTCCCCTGGGGGCAGAATTACCCCCGGGGGCATCATCCTGGTTTGTACCATTTAACTGCCTTACCCATCAGCAATTTATTCTAGCGTCTGGTGTGAGTTAGGGATCTCCACAACATTTTTTCCAGATAATTAACTCAGGCTTTGCCCCACTTGGCACTGCTGACATCAGGGCCAGATCATTCTCTGGGGAGCCATCCTGGGCACTGTGGGGAGGTGAGTGAGCAGCACTCCTGACCCCCCTTCCCTCAATGCCAGAAGCACCCCACAGTATCACAACTATAAATGTCTCCAGACCTGGCCCAGTGTCCCCAGGGGGAAAGATTATACTCATTGAGATCCACAGTGTTGGAGCAGTGGCCCTCAAACTCCAGGTTACATCACAGACTCTTGGGGCACTGATTGAAAACACAGGTGTTCTGGGCCGGCCCCAGGCACCCTGATCCCTACAGCACGACTGGCTTCTTCTCCACATGCATAGACGGGGCTGTTGTTCAGCACCATTTAAAACCAGTGACCTTGAGAACTTGGGGGTCCTCAGAGCTGGGGGTTCATCACTGTCAGCGTCAGCCACGGTGGGATGCTGCTAAACCCTGTGCAGGTCGGCGCCCCCACGCCCACCCCAAGAATGAGCTGGCTTGACTGTAATCTATTCTGTACTGGAGAAAGCCTGTGTCAGCCGGTCTGCCGGATCTGCAGGCTTAGACGACAGGTGTCGTCTCTTAGGTGCTCAGTAAACGCTTGTCAGGTCACCACAGGCGGACAGGGAAGCCACAGAAGCTGAGGAAGGCGGTGTGTGGAGGGGGGTCTCTTACCAGCCCGAAGGAGTCGTCAAGCTGGGCCAGGGTGGCCCTGGCCTGGAACTGGCTGTGCTGCAGGTGGCTCAGGGCGTGCTCAAAAGCCCGCTGGCGGAAGCGGGGCGCCACGTCACCCAAACGCACAAAATAGCTGGCACGGTCGGCTGTGAGCACCCTCGGCCCAGGTTCAGAAGCAGCCAGCTGAGCTGGAAAGGAAGACGGAATTACTCGATCTGAGAGACCCCTTGGGGTGCCTGGGGCTTTACAGGGATTAGGCCCCAGCTGGTGGGGGTCAGGGGTGCTGGCCGTCTCTTTCTCACCTTGCTCCTCGGCGTCCATGGGGTGGAAGATGTCCCCCAGCCCCTCCAACTCATCCTGGAGCATCACAAAGCCCATGGCACCTTCCTGGCCAGGTGTGGGGGCCACATGCCCTGCATCCCCCCGGCCCAGGGGAGCCGCTTGGCTGAGTGTTGTCGCGGCAGGCTCAAAGCCTTTGGCGCCACTGCTGGCTTCCCCAGCAAGGTGCAGGCCTGCACAGACAGTATCCGGGGACCTCGAGACCC